CCATCAGGAGAGTTTTTACTCCATTTTACCAACAATATCCCAAATACTTTTCTCCTTGATGTTTGTACCGAGGGGAACACAATTGAGAAGCAAAGTTTTAATTCAAAATAAATATAAAATTTAAATTATTATTATTTAATTTTAAAATAAATATTATTAAATAATTTAGGGCAAATACTTTAGGGCAAACAAATAATTTAGGGCAAATACGCAATTTAGTTACCAAACTGTCGTCAATATTAGATTTTTTAGTCCTAAATATTTTTTCATAACGTTTTCACACTTCATATTTTGCAGACCTTGTTGATACTCTAATTTATTTGTAAACTTTGCACATGAATGACATCCGTTGTGGTGTCCTACTGCGTTTAACTTATGGTGCATGATTTATGGACTGTTAGGGATCAACTGGGTTATCTCGGGTTCGGTTGGGGGGGGGGAGATTTGGGCTTGGAATGGTTTATATGTAAAAAAAAATATTGCTAATATATCATCCATTTGATTGTTTTTTGGGTCATTTGGAAAGAGGAGAACATAAGAATTTTTGATAGTGTTGAGAGTATCACTAATAGATTAATAGATAGGTGGATGAACACGTTTGGGTCGATTTTGTTAAGTAATTAGAGGTACCCCCAATTTTTTGGTACACTATTAATAATACTTTACACTTTTTATTTCAAAAAAAAATGGATGATATCCCCTTGGTATTTACATTAATACTATTTCACACTTTATATTCTAAAAAAAATATTTTCTTGTAATGTTTTAGTCTTACAACTTCTAAACTTATTCAAATATACTAGCTCCATTAATTTTAACTAGAAAAAACGAAAACAGCATGTGCTTTGTTTGGAACCTTTAAAAAAATCAATTTCTCAATTCCTCTCCACTACTCGAATGTCTTCCTCTCCCACATCCCTTAAGCTCACCGACCTCATTGTCTCTTACATCCCCATCAACACACCCTACCTCTTTGTCATCCTCGGCAACGTGCACAAGCTCACTTATCTCACCATCTCCAGCACCACTCTCTACGCTTTCATCCTAAACACATCATTTCAGTCTCATTCACATTGATTTGCTTGATAATAAGCTTAGAGGAAATTGATGTCTGTGGATGACTCAGTGGTAGGGAAGCTTCTCCAACGCTCTTTTTCTACTTTCTTCCACTACTTTTTATCAAAAAGAAATACAAATTTGCTCCAATTATAGACCCGAAACCCAAATTCAAAAGAATATAATCAATCTCTCCCTCGATGCTCTAATCTTTCTCTTTTTTTTCTCAATTTCATTGTTTTCTCATTTCCGAAACTCTCTCTTTCTTTCACTTTCCCGCCTCCATTTTGCATAGAAAACAACAGTTCACCATAATATTTCCCTCCCTATCAATTTATCGATAGTCAACATACATCCACAGCCACCCTTCCACACAAAGAAAGCAACTCTGGGCGGAGCCTCCCTTTTGGCTCCACTTATTATGCCCTCTCACCTAAAAAACTCGCTAAATCTCATAAATAAACATTTAATATTTTAAAAAATAGAGATAACCAGCAAATGGACACCGTTTTGGGAGATAGGCAGGATATTGCTGACTTCACCTTCCAAACTAAACATTTACCTTCTACCAATAGAAACTTTCTAGGTAGTTCAATAGGCATGTAGAAAGATCTCTATCGACAGCAGCACAAAAAATTAAATGATGACAAAAAAACCGGAACATAGATAGAATTATTACAAAGTGAACATGAGTTAATGTTACAAAGTGAAAATGAGTAAATGTTACAAAGTAAAAGTGAGATAATGTGTTTGCATATGCATATGTTCTCAAATGGCAGATTAGATGAATCAAGATATAATATAAGATACCTTTGATAGGTTAGGGAAATCCTCAAGAAGTGAAGCATAAAGTGAAGACGGAGA